TACATATTTAAATTCAGCAAATGGTGAACAATCAATTTCAAACCTCAGTACCAAACACCCTACAAAGCAAATCAAATTATTCAAACTACATGCAAAGTCAAACTAAGTAGAATTATTTTTCCTTTTACAGTTGAAATTACATTAATAGTATCAGTATCTGTTCAAAGGAGAGGGGAGAATGTCGAGCATTGGGCTCAACCTGGAAAGTAAGGTGCCCCCACTTTGCTTCTCAAATGAGAAGCGTGGCCAGTAGGCCACGTAGTAGTGAGCAAGTAGAATTGTTTTATAAAGAAATAAAAGGGGATAAATACAATAAATATGGTAAAGATCAAAGGTAGATACAATAAGAAAGAACAATTTGGCCGCCATTAGTTTGCTAAGAGAACTAGTCTCCCTTGCGAGGCAGAGGTTAAAGACCAAAAGGGAAAATCAGATTCATTTTTGGCTTTTGATTAGCAATTTTGTAAGTCTGGGTTGTAATGTTAATTGTTTACAAATTAGAATACCCCTTATCCTCCGTTTAATTAAATTCTTAGCCATTCAAAAAAAAAAGGAAAAGGAAAAAAGAGAGACCAAAAGGCAATAGCAATAAATAAAGTAAATAAAATACCATCGCTCAGTAGACTGAAAAGTTGGAGAAGTTAAACTGGCGTTTATTCAAACAGAGGGATTGCCAGTGACTTTTAACCTTGAATTCATAAGCAGGATAAATAATTGTTCTAGGATCCACTACCTTGGAATAGAAAAAACGGCATAAATTGGAAAATGAGAAACCATACTACAAACTTTGTTCTGTATACCACTCAATCTGCACTGAAAATTAACACTTCAACAGAACTAACAGAAGACAACTCATACTTTAATTGGGTGAAAATTGCCTCCAAAAATAGCTAATTCACCCAAAAGTTGTTTAGAACCCATATCAGCCTCGGCCCCGGCCTCCACCTGTTACAAGTGAGAAAAATGAGTTTTGTATTAATCTATACTTTGTTGAAAGGCAAGCTAAGAATAAAAAAAGCCATATTTTTCTGATTTTTTCTTGTTAAAATAAATTAAAGGAAACCACATATCCTGATAAAAAAAGACTAAATGACAGAATGAGAGAACAAAGAAAAATTAAACCTAATATCCCATTTACTAATCTGATGCTAACTGTGATTTTGATGCCAGAACCATGAAAAGCAGACCAATTGAATCATACTAAATCAGTGAATAAATTTCACACAACGTCAATGAAAAGGTTCTAATCACATGCAAGTAAAGACATAACACATTTTTTCTGTTACTTTTAGCAAGTCATATTACCTCTGTTTCCACTAGGTTTTCCACCTGGACCACCCCTGCCTCTGCCTGCACCTTTGGCACCTCCATCATCTAGCCCACGCCCAACTCCTTTTGCTTGCCTTCCACCAGGGCCATCTTCTCGGCCCCTACCTCTGCCACGTCCTACCCCAGGAGGCCTTCTATCTGCGGAAGTAAGAACTAGTTTATTTTTTATTGTTCAAACTAAGAGACACCCTTCTAATGACCAGTGGCGGAGCCAGGGGGGTGCGAGGGGGACGCTCGCCCCCCCTGAAATTTGAAAATCTTGCAAATTAGTATATGAAAAATTATCTAGCCTCCCCTGAACTTTGAAAATTTTAGTATTTTGCCCCCCTGAAAAAAATTTCTGCCTCCGCCCCTGCTAATGACCAATACAATTAGAGCATACCTGTGCGGCTCTTGGTTTCTTCCTGAACTTTATCAATTACCTAAAGTTTCACAGAAATATTACTAGATTAGAAGCAATTAGTCTAAGAAACTACCAGAAAGAAAGAGCAAAGCATTTAATGGTATGCCAATTTACTGGAGCAAGTTTAAGGGAATCAAGTTCGATAAAAATGGTTCTTGAAGAAAAGAAAAGAAAATAAAGTCTCATTTTGAAATGCAATGCAAGATAGCTATTCCCAGAACATAAAATTAAAAATGACAAAATACCCAAATCCACCCCCAAAGTATAGTGGCAGGGATGGATCAACCCCCAAACAACAAACGGGGACAAATCCACCCACAAAGTTTTCGACTTGGATAAATCACCCCAAATTTAACATGTGACATCATCTACCATCAGCAATCCGTTAATTCGTTAACAGATTGCTGACGTCAAATAATGTCAAATTAACAAATTGCTGATGTCAGATGACGTCACACGTTAAATTTGAGATGATTTATCCAAGTCAAAAACTTTGTGAGCGGATTTGTCCCCGTTTTTTGTTAAGGGGTGAATCCATCCCCACCACTATACTTTGCGGATGGATTTGGGTACTCTGCCATTAAAAATCTAGTTATATTCTATTATACCTTTTTTAGGCAATATATAACGTAGACAGAACATTGAGAAAATGACAACATATATTGTGTGGATCAAAGCAATAAGTTCCTTGAAAATTCACCAGTGCAAATTGAGGAAAGATAATAACCCAAATAAGGTGTAATGCATACCTCATCAGGAACCCGAAGATACTTAATTGTATTGCCACGGATGTAGCATTCAGGCATTCGCCAAAATCTATCTCCATCCTTCACAAAATTCCAGCCAAATCAATCAATATCTTTGGTGGGAGTGGGAGCAGAGGGAATTAGCTAGAAACAAAAGAAAATCAGCATTTGTTAAGAAAGTATATTATACCTTAGAGGTACAGATAACTTCACGGAGATGGATGTTCATCCAAGTATCACAGTTAACCAAATGTCCATTGTAAGTCTCCCCATTTTTCAGTTCCACCAACTGTTACAACAAACAAATATTTCAGACATCACACAATACTTAAAACAGCTAAAACATGAGTTCTTCAAAAATCTATCCAAATCAATTTTGTATTAAGTTCAAACGCGAAAGCAAGGCAAGCGATGCTCTTACCATAGGATGGCCCTGTGCAGTTTTTAGTAGAGAAAGAGGAAGCTGAAAAGGTCAAAAACAGATAAATGGGTTAGCATAAAAAAGGTAAGAATCTTTGAAACAGAAGAACAGAAACCAAAATTCACCCAAAAGTTACATACTTCCTGAACAATGAAATGGGATTGGTATTGAATGACTCATCTATTATTTACTTTTTCATTTTTATGAGGGATGTATTTCCTCCCGGATCCACAGAAGCAGCTCAAAAACCACATATGCAAAATTTACACCCTTTATTTTCCTCAACTTTCTAAGCTATCAAACAGAAGGCAAAGGCAAACAAAATCGAGTTACATACCATCTTTTAGGGCAACCGAAAACGAGCAAAGCAGAAGCAACCTGCAAGAGAAGAGGGAAAAAAAAAAAAAACTCACAAAAATGTTGTCACAAAATGCAAATTTAAAGGGCTTACGTCGAAATCCCTAGCTGCACCTCATTCTCATTACAGAAATCGAAGAAATTAACTAAATCGCGGAGATAAGCTAGTAGAGAAAGGAAAAACAATTGCCTTAAAACCCTAATTGAAGTCACCAGAATTGAGAATACGAGAGAGAAAAAGGAGCTTTGATTGTTGGGGAGACAGCTGTGGTTCGTCGGAGGTCGATCTCCCTGTACCAGTTGGCTTTCTGAGGAATCAACCCCGGTTTTGACTATTTGATT